GTTGCCCTCATGAGCAACTGCCTTAGCTGGACAAGTGGACCAAGCTCTTGAAGTCTTCTCTGTTACTTTGATGGGTTTCTTTACCCCTGATGCAGGGGTAAGCAGAGAGGAGAATGTGGCTGTGCATCCAAATCTCCCCCCGATTCCCGCCCTCCCCTCCCCAGTTTGGGAATGTCTAGACTCGATTTATTTATTTGTTTTTAGCCAGAGCTAGCTGCTCTGCGGATTAATTCCAGTTAGAGAACTGGTCTGGGTGCCGGAGGCTCGACAGTTCTCAAGGGTTTGTTCCTGTATGTTAACATTTGTGGCTTACTAGGGTAATTTGCAAACACATTTACTTTGAGTCAATTGGCAATCAGTTAACTGAAGTTAAAAAGAAAGAGGGGTGGGGGAGGAAAATAATCATACAAGCCTCCTTTGCAAAATGCTTTGGGATCTGTGTTATTGGCAAAAACCAGAATAATAGAATCTAGGTAGTGGAAACACCACAAGAAAGGGCTTAATTCTCTCTCTAATATAAAAATCTAACTGGCAGGAGTCTGCCAGGGATCAATTAGCTGATGTCTGCACACTGCCTTTAAGAGTAGAACACTACAGCAAAGTTATATATTATTATAGTTTCTACACGTCCTTTTCTCCTCTTAGTTTTACATTTTTAACACCACCTACTAAGCAGTTCTCTCCCCTTTTAATAATCCACCGAGTAAAGCGGTTTGTTGCATGTTGTTTTCAAATTTCAGTTATGCACGAAGAAAGCCTTTCATTAAAAAAAACCCATACAGGACAAATTTCATTTGGAAAAAGCACATAGGATCGTGCTACTCATCTGGCCAGGATATAAAGGGCCACATCCTGATCTGGCTGTGCTGCGTCAGAAACGGAGCGATGTCAGAGAAGGCTCAGCCCCTATTTAGTTGTGCGAAGCGAGGTCAGGGTTGGGGTTGGGATGGGCTGAAAGCCTTGGCACTAAGTGGGTAAATCAGATTTAAGGCCAGCCTGATTTTAGCTGATGTAAATCAGTGCGGCTCTCTTGGAAGTTGGTGGAGTTACCTGGATTTATACTGCTGATGGCTTGGCCTGTTGTCTGCACCAATTTAGAGCTGCTAGAGATCTGGGCCGCTGAACCTGCTGGGCTGCTGGTCTTGATGGAGTTGGTCTAATTTCCTGTGGGGTTATTTTCTTCAGTTTTTTAAGCACAGGATCCCCCATCTGTCTGTCTCTGCAAAGCTGGCTTTCCTGTCTGCAGGCCTGCACGGAGACCCTCCCTCCTCCTCCCCCTGCTTCTCACACCATCGACTGCACCATGCGTCCTTTTGTCCGTTTCTAGATCCTCCCTCCCCCTCTCGCCATGCTCTCTCCTTGCCCTTCTCCCTTTTGCCATTTTGGGGTGTCTCTCCTTTGCCTCCGTACCTCTAATTCTCCTCCTTCCTCAGAGGGATCACAGCGTGCCTCTCCCTCAATTTCCATCACCTTTCCTCCATCCCTAACTCCCTCCCACCCTCTCCAGCTCGTGCAACTCGCTTACGTTTGCCCTCATTCATGTGTATTCCTTGCCACCGTTTCCTTCCATCTGTCCCCAGCATGGAGCCCCCGTCCTTTGTCACTGCTCTGCTTGCCTGACCCTCTGTGTCACCTCCTTATTGTATCCTGTCGTGCTGGGCTCAGATCCCTCTCCCCCCACACGCAGTCATTGTCCCGTGGCTTAGAAAAACGCCGAACCCAAGCCCAGCCCTGACAAACGCCTACCTGAGGTCCTTTTGCAAAGGAGAGCAAGCCTGGCGCTCCTGGGAGGCAGAGCGTGGGTCACTGAGGAATTCAGCAAACGCTACTTCAGTCTGGGGTGTTGCACGGGAGTCGTTTTCAGCGCGGATGCTTGCCGCTAACACCCCCTTTCTTTCCACGCGACGCTCCGGTGATATCCCTGGGGAAATGGTGGCATCTCGGTTAATCTTCCTAAGATGGAATCTCCATCTTTGGAGCGAGCAGCAGAGGAGCGGAGCGGGGAAATGTCTGCCAGGGAAGGGTCAGGGAGAGACGGCCCTGCCCGGGGGCTGCGGGAGGGCATAGGTGACCCCTCACGGTTTTATCCCGCCCTCCACGGGCTCCTTGGGATGAACCTGTATTCTGTGATTTTTGTCTACGTGGTTTTATTCTATAGTTGTGTCGTGCCTAGCACCGTAAAGTCCTGTTCTTTGGGTTTCCTAAGTACTAGTAATACAACACTGTAGATGACCATCGGTCCACATCAACTGTTCAGAAACTTTGCTAAACAAAGCATTGCGAATATACTTCAGGGTGCAAACTCAGCGGGGAGTAACATGTGAGCTACATTGGACTTGGCAGGGTGTGGATTTGGTTTGAATTTTGGGGATTTGCCCAGCTCCTTCTCTGGGTCAGACCTAGCATTTCCATCCCCCAGGAACATGAAATTAGTGGCTTAGAGATGGGTTTAATGGAGCAGCATCGCAATGCTAAGTATTATAGGAGGTTTTGGAGCAACACAGAGCAAGAGACAGCTATTCTTCCCATTCCACAAATGGGGGACTGAGGCTCAGAGAGCTGAAGTAGCTCTGAGGAGTTAAAAGTCGCATTGGGAGTCGACAGCAAAGTCAGGATTTACCGGCACGTGTCCTACACCAATGCCAAGACCCTCTGTCAGGCGGTGGGGTTTCAAAGCTATGCTGGGAGGTTTCGTGTTCGCGCAGTCTCCTGCAGTTTGACGAGGCTGCACCCCGGTGCCCATGCGATGTTGCGAGATGCGAGTGTGACCTGTCAGGCTGAGCATGCTTTGCGCAGCTGTAACTATTGGTTGTACCGTGTGCGGCGCCTGCCACCGCTGCGAGCGCGGGGAATTATTCTTGTCAGCTGTAGTGGCACGAGGCTCTGTTTTTATCACTAAAGGTGCGGACTTCGATTCTTGCTAATGATACGTGGTGGTGGGATCGTTACGTTCCTGTAAATACCCCGATGTCACAAGTCTGTGTCTCATGAGACGAGCTGCAGATAAGTGGCAGCACTAAGTGAGTGGCAGCCCTGAACTCCCAGCTGGGAGAGATGTTGTTATTTACTAGGATCTGTATAAATAATAATGTTCCAGCCCACGAGCTGAGGAATCTTAATTTCTTGGTTGCAGAAGCATCGTTTGCAGGTCATCTCGTGTTAAAGTGTGATGTCAGTGTAGTACCTTGAGGAAGACTTGCTGGTGCCAGATGGTCAGAGGAGAGGACAAGAGGTGGGCTCCTTTTGGGGAGAGAAGATGGGGTGGGGAGGACCTCACAGAGGTTCCAGTGCTATATCCTGATCCTCTTGTTCCATGAGCCCTGAGTTAGACACCTGAATCCTTGGGAAATCCAGGCAAAATGCTCGCCTTACACCATCTGCACTAGTAGAAAGGCGGTGCCCTGAAGAATCACATTTTTTAATTTTTCTTAGAGACCCGAGCTTAGAGCAAGCCTCTGCGCAGAGGAAGCTCCAGTCTGCATGGGAACTTGGTGCCAGGCTTTGAAAATGCCTTCAGGCACCGAGTAAGGCTTTTGGAGAGAGGGGTCAGAGGGACAGCAGCAGGGAGGGTTTCCAGAAGTAGTTTAGAAAACTGTGCCACATCTGTAAAAATATTTAGTTTCTTGATGGCATCCTAGTGTCATCTAGGAACCTGGAGTCACTCAGCTGGCTCTAAACCCCTCTAAAAAATTATTTCGAAGCCAAAACACACTGAAAAGTCTCTTGCCTTTTTTGGAAGAGCAGAAACATGTTTTCTGAGCTATAAGGAGCAGGGGAATAGGCTTGGTGGGCTCCAGGCGGGTTGGATACTGATATGCAAAAGCACTGGCATGGCAAATGACCTCAGGAAAGGGTCCGAGCGCCCAGACCGTTGTGGTGGGGAGGCCTGCGGCCATCAGTGTTTGATAAACCAGATGGAGAGTCAAGGGCAAAACACAGCCCTTGGCTGGATGGCCTCCCCTCCCCGGGCAGCCACAGCCGTGCCTTCGCTGCGGCTCCTGGTGAGGAGCAGGGGTCTGCGCACAGCCTGCAGTGGGGCTCTGTGTGGACTCGGGAGGGCAGCACTGCCCCATTTCTTGCTGTTTTGACCCCAAAGCAAATACTGGCATCCTGCTACCCCCTGACCTTCTAGTGGTGCCGACGTTTGGGGTCCCACCATATCTGAGGTGCAGAGCCCAAAATGCTGCATCTCTGCTACCCCACCCCAACTTGGCCTCCCGAAAGTGACCCAGATCACACCGGATTCACCCCAAAAGCTCCGCAGTAGGACAGAAGTCCCTGTGGAGGGCTCTGCTCTCTTGAGTTATGGCAGACGTCTCTCCCCTCGTGCTCCCTGTGAGCTGGCACAGGGTGACAAAGGGGCTCCGCATTAGCCATGTCTGGCTGTGGACTCGGCATCCCCCTGCTTTCTCCTGTCATCTCCAGCCTGTCTCGCGGCCCCGTGTGTCAGCTGAATCCTTCCTGTCCCAAGAGCCACTCTGACAAGAGGGGAGCCAGGGTGGCCGTCTTCTCTGAGGGGCAACATGGCGGGATCTGGGCCTCAGCAGGGACAGCCTTCCTCACAGGGACCGCTGGCCCATGGGGAGGGCTTGAATCCCCCCTGCTCCCCGGCTCCTGGTGCCTGTGGGTGTGTGAAAGGGAGATCTCTGAGGGGTGATTGCTGAGGAGTGGCTGATTTCTGAGGGGAGGCGGCTGAGGGGGATTGTGTGGTGGGGGGCAGCACGCAAAATGGCGACACCCGCCTGAGGATGAGGGAGCGGGGAGCTCCTGAGCGGGGAGCTCTATGGGGATGGTGACGGGGAAACCTTCCTCTGGCATTTCTCCTGTCAGGGTTAGGGGGGAAAGGATCTTTCCCTCATTTTAGGTCCCTGGGCAGTGGCTGCTGCATGGTGCAGGGTCTGCTGAAAACACGACAGCTCAGCTTGGTTTCCTGAGGAGAGGGGAGGGTGGCAGGACAGCCTTTCTAACCTCCCTGCCTTGTTTTCTCTCTCTTCCCCAAGGCTGCAAGATCAAAGCCCTGCGGGCAAAGACCAACCCTCAAGACTAGCCTCCAGTACGGGGTGAGGAGCCGGTCTTCATGGTGACGGGACGGCGGGAGGACGTGGGAGATCATCTCTGCTGCCGAGCACTTCTCCATGATCAGGGCCTCCCGCAACAAGGCTGGCACCACTTTTGGCAGCGCTCCCACCTTGCCGGGGCAAGTCACCATCCGGGTGCGCGTGCCCTACCGCGTGGTGGGCTTGGTGGTGGGCCCCAAAGGAGCCACCATCAAGCGGATCCAGCAGCAGACCAACACCTACATCATCACGCCCAGCCGGGACCGGGACCCCGTCTTTGAAATCACCGGCGCGCCAGGTAATGTTGAACGTGCCCGGGAGGAGATCGAGACCCACATCGCGGTGAGGACGGGCAAGATCCTGGAGTACAACAACGAGAACGACTTCCTCTCCAGCAGCCCCGACTCCGGCCTGGAG